TCAGCAAGCATGTTATGTACATGAAAAAATCATTTGTCAAAAATAAAATAAAATCCGACCTGCCGGATTCGAACCAGCGACCTAAGGATATCTTTCAGATTATAAACCCACTACAGTCCTCCGCTCTACCAACTGAGCTAAGGTCGGCCACATTTGTTCATTCGATATATTTGTAAAATGTTCTTTTACAATAAAATCTTTGAAGAGAGAAAAAAAATGCATAAAAGCACCATTGTGTCAATCGCATCTCACATGTCCACACGAAAGTGCTTGAATTTTTATTTTTTTTATAAGACAAAGTATTTAAATATATCTATTAATACATACCACGTATTTAATTTTGCTCTCATCATACCACAACTGAAGTCATACTCTAATATATGTTTTGGCCAATGCCAGTTCAAGTTTTTCGAGATGTTCTGCTTATATGATCTATCGCTCTAAATTATTGTTTTTTAATAGTTCAAATTTATAACCTAAAATAAACTATCCAAATTCCTTGCCACCAGTCGAGTTTTAAATCCTAATAACTTTCTAATTGTATTTATTTAGGAAATATTAGTTTCATGTTCTCATGTCATTGACATAAAATATATAAGACCCACTCTGTTATGGACATGAGGAAAGCCCACAGTCCCAGGCAGCCTAAATGATGCAAGCCCAGAGGTAAGCACTATAAATAGAAGCTAAAGACCACAGGTATGACTACTCTCTCTCACCCTATTTTATGCAATCACAATAGTGCACACACACTCCTTTGGCCAAGGCCAGTATATAGTGTGTAGTGATTCGCTGTTCTCAAGATACTTAATTCATGGGTATCTAGAGAGAAAGCACTAGATCCAAGATCAACCATATGACTTAAGGTCGGACATCTCTGCCTCAGGCAGAACATTGGCGTCGTCTGTAATAAGAATTTGGTGGAAGATTTTTGCTTAACTTTGCTACCAGTAAGAAGCAGCCAAAATCAAAGTTCGCGCTGGGAAAGATTAGACAGCAACCCGGTGAAACGCTGCAGAAATACCTGGATCGGTTTAAAATGGCCGCCCTCCAGGTACCCGGGTTATCTGAAAACGTACATCTCCATTTGGTGATAGCCGGGTTGCACGGTACGTCTCGGTTAGCTAAATCAATATACAAAGAGCCAGCTCGGACCTTGGCTGAGTTCACCACACGATCTAAGAAGTACTTGGAGCTCGAGCAGATGAAACTGGAACATATGGACCAAAGGCACCAGCCTGGCCAAGGAGAGAAGCCCGGAGGTCGGAGGCCAAATGATTTCCGAGGAAAAAGACAGGATGACAGGCTCCAAGGGGGAGGTTTGATAAGTATGCCCCCCTAAATTCATCCCGGTCACAAATTTGGCGCGAGGTCGCCTCTACCGAGATGAAGAAGGTGGAACACCCTCGGCCGTTGCAGAACCCAGCCGGGTTAGATCACTCTCAATATTGTGCATTCCATGATGGGCCTGTTCACACTACCGACGAATGTTGGGACCTTAGAGATGCGATTGAGAAGTATGTCAGAGAAGGAAAATTGCGACAGTATTTGATCAGAACTCAAGGATGGAGGAACAGAAAGAGGAGAGGAGGTCGGCCCATGAGCCCCCCCAAGGATAAAAAATTCAGAGATAAAGGTTGAGGCAAGAAGCCGGCCAGGGAAGATGATGAATTCCAAGAGCCGGAATTTGAATGCAATGTGATTAGCGGAGCTTTTGGTGGCAGGGGTGACACCATGAATGCTCGACGCAAATACCTAAGGGAGGTGCTCTCCATAAGGGAGCGCCCTAAGTTTAAAGAAGATGAACCAGAGCCACCATTATTGTATTTTACCAGAAAAGAGCTGGAAGATGTAATGCCAGGACACGTCGATGGACTGGTTATTACGGGAACGCTAGTCAATTGCAGAGTTAAGAAGATTTTTCTGGACAATGGAAGTTGTACTGATATAATTCTATGGCAGGCGTTTAAAAAAATGAATTTGGATGAGGAAGACTTGAAGCCCTGTAACACGACCTTGATTTCATTTAATGGCCGTAACACTATCCCCAAAAAATATATTGACCTCAGGCTTACTTTAGGAACTAAGGAGGCCTACAAATCTGAGAGGGTAAGGTTCATTGTAGCCGACTTCCCTTCGGAATATAATGTGATATTAGGAAGACCTACCATCCACGATTGGGACATGTTGGTCTCAACCAAGCATCAAAAGCTTAAGATGGTTGGCAAACAGAATACAGTAATTACCATAGCAGAGGACCAAAAGGAGTCTCAAGATTGTTACTTCAAATCAGTAAGAGCAGTGGACAAAGATCTTGAAGCTTTGACTGTGACCAAGCAGAACGGCCACAACCTCTCGAAGAAAACCTCGGTTCATATGGTGGAGTTAGATATGAGGGATGATACTCAGATGCCGAGGCCTGAGCCCGATGGAGAACTAGAAGAGGTGACCATTGGGGAGCCGGGGCAAACTGCGAAGGTCGGCAAGGGATTGACGGATGAGGAAAAAACCCAGCTCACTACGTGTCTAAGGAATAGCAATGACATTTTTGCATGGAAGTCCTCAGAAATTCCCGGGGTTGATCCTAGCTTTTGTTGTCACAAGCTAGCAGTGTACCCTGGATCTAAGCCGGTGGCCCAGAAGAAGAGGAAGCTCAGTCTGGAACGTCGGCAGGTGTTAGAAGATCATGTGAAGGAGTTATTAGAAGCAGGTTTTATCAGGGAAATACAATACACAACTTGGCTTTCTAATGTAGTAATGGTTAAAAAGCCGAATGGAAAATGGAGGGTGTGCACTGACTATACCGACCTAAATAAGGTATGCCCCAAGGACGCATATCCAATGCCTAACATAGACCAGTTGGTTGATAGCTCCTCCAGATTCCGTATGCTGTCCTTCATGGATGCCTACTCAGGGTATAATCAAATCCCACTGCACCCAGAAGACCAAGAGAGAACCGCCTTCATTGCGGAAAAGGCGAACTACTGTTACAATGTGATGCCTTTCAGACTAAAGAATTCAGGAGCCACCTATCAAAGAATGATGAACCAAGTGTTTGCTGATCAATTGGGCAAGAATGTTGAAGTGTACATCGATGATATGATAGTCAAGTCGCTCGATGTAGCAGTACATGTTAAGGATCTAGAGCAGACCTTCGACAAGTTAAGGCAACACCGCATCCGCTTAAATCCAGCAAAGTGTGCTTTTGGGGTTTTTACAGGGAAATTCCTTGGTTTTATGCTAACTCACAGAGGGATTGAAGCTAATCCGGATAAGTGCAGAGCCGTGCTAGAAATGACAGCACCATCAAATAAGAAAGAGATACAGCAGCTAACAGGAAGGTTAGCTTCACTCACCAGGTTCTTACCTCGGTCAGCAGAAAGCGCGTTACCTTTCTTCAAGTTGCTAAGGAAGGAAGTGCAGTATGGATGGACCTCAGAATGCGAAGCTGCATTCCAACAAATCAAAAGACAACTAGCTTCTCCTCCAGTTCTAGCAAAGCCAAGGGAGCTAGAAACTTTGATTATATACCTATCCGTGGGTGATGTGGCTGTCAGTTCAGTTCTAGTGCAGGAGAATGAAGAAGGACAACAACCGATATATTTCATGAGTCGGCTTTTGCAAGGAGCCGAGCTCAGGTATCAAAGGTTGGATAAGGTGGCCTTCGCTCTCCTAATCTCGGCAAGAAGACTCCAAGCATACTTTCAAGGGCATAAAATCTTGGTTCGGTCAGACGTGCCAATTCGGCAGATACTCCATAAACCTGACTTGGCAGGGAGAATGATGAGCTGGGCTGTGGAGTTATCAGAGTTTGATATAGCTTTCAAAAGCCGCAAAGCGATCAAATCCCAAGCGCTGGCAGATTTTGTTTGAGAGCTCACTTCAATCCAACATAATGGCTCTCATAGACTGGATACCTGGAAAGTGTACGTCGATGGCTCCTCCAATTCTAAAGGGAGTAGAGCCGGGGTTATCATTGAAAACGCGGACGACGTAGCAGTTGAATACTCTATGAAGCTCGACTTCGAAACCTCTAACAACCAGGCAGAATATGAAGCCTTCATAGCCGGTTTGCAACAGGCCAAGGAGCTCGGAGCTCGGAAAGTGAAAGTTTACAGTGATTCACAGTTGGTTACCTCTTAAATTGAGGGGAGCTACCAGGCTAGAGGACCTTTGTTGACAAAATATCTCGAATATGCAAAGCAGATAATGACAAATTTCGAAAAGGTAGAGGTCAATCATATTCCGAGAAACGAAAACAACAGGGCTGATATATTGTCTAAATTGGCTAGCACCAAAGGCTGGGAAAACCTTAGGACAGTGGTCGAACAGAACATCCCAGAGCCAACTTGTGTCATGCAGATATCACGGTAGATGATTGGCGCTACCCCGTTATTGAGTACATCGAAAATGGGACATTGCCTGCGGGGAAGGAGGAAGCCAAGAAGCTAGTCCGAGATGCGGCACTATACACTATGGTGGAGGGACAGCTTTATAAGAAAGGAATCTTTGCCCCATTGCTGAAGTGTTTAAGTTCGGATAGGGAAAAGTATGTTCTGTTCGAAATCCATGAGGGTATCAATGGTCAACACGTCGGAGGCAAGGCTTTAGCTCAAAAAGCACTTCGAGTCGGGTACTTCTGGCCATCCATGACTAATGACGCAAAAGAACACGTGCAGAGGTGTGATCAATGCCAGAAGCACGGAAAGAATCTGTTGGCTCCTCCTGAGGAATTGAATTTGATCACAGCACCATGGTCGTTTTTTAAATGGGGAATGGATCTTCTGGGTCCATTTGCAGCAGCAGAGGGCCAACTAAAATGGTTAATGGTTGCAGTTGACTATTTCACCAAGTGGATTGAAGCGAAACCAGTAGCCGCGATCACCTCGGCTTGAATCCAGCGCTTCTTTGAAAGAAACTTAATATGTCGGTTCGGGATCCCAGCCGAGGTAGTAACAGACAATGGAACCCAGTTCACAAGTAAAACCTTCCAAGATCTGATGGCAAGTATTCACATCCGACATCGTTTCGCATCGGTTGAGCACCCTCAAACTAACGGCCAGGCAGAGGCAGCTAACAAAGTCATAATAGAAGGGCTAAGGAGGCGAATAGAACAATCCGCCAAAGGAAAGTGGATTGAGGAGCTGTACTATGTGCTATGGGGTTACAGAACCACGATACAGACCTCTATCGGGGAATCCCCATTCAAGTTAACATATGGATGCGAAACCATGATCCCGGTTGAATTGGGAGAGCAATCGTGGAGAAAGGTCCAAGCCCTGTCACAAACGGAGGAAGAAAACAAAAAAAAATAGCAATAGAACTCGATCTGATAGATGAAGGTCGGGTCATGGCTCACTGCAGAAATTATGACCAAACAACTGGTTGCTAATCGGTTTAACAAGAAGGTAAAGCCTAGATCGTTCAAAACAAAAGAGTTAGTGCTGCGTAGAGCAGACATCGGAGGTCGTAACACAGCTGATGGAAAGCTAGCTCCAAGATGGGAGGGACCTTTCAGAATAAAAGAAAAGATGTCAAGAGGAGCTTATGTTTTAGAAACTCCGCAAGGAAAACATGTCAGGAGAACATGGAATGCGGACAAGTTAAAAAAATATTATAGCTGAAAGATACGAGTTAATCTCCTATTTCCCCTTTTGTAAGCCATAGATCCGAACTATGAAAAAAATTCAATAATGAAAGTATTTCCTTTAACACGATTTTTTACTTACAAGACCAAGGTATTTGAACCCGTCTTGCCCAAAGGGCAAGATAGAGAGTTCTAGCCTGGTAACAAGACCAAGTATTTGAACCCGTCTTGCCCAAAGGGCAAGATTGAGAGTTCTAACCCGGTAACAAGACCAAGGTATTTGAACCCGTCTTGCCCAAAGGGCAAGATAGAGAGTTCTATCCTGGCAACGAGGCCGAGGTATTTGAACCCGTCCTGCCCAAAGGGCATGATTGAGAGTTCTAGCCGGGCAACAAGGCTGAGGTAGTTGAACCCGTCTTACCCATAAGGGCAAGAGTGAGAGTTCTAGCCCGACATTCCATTGATTATAACCGACGGAGGCAAACGTGGAAAGTAAGGGGATGCCCTAAAATCTTTTTTAACGTTTCGCAAAAACAAAGTAGAATCATGCAAATAAACTTGGAAGCATTGCTCAACCATTTCAAATCAATCAACAAAAAAAATATGAGAGAACGACAAGCATATGGCAATAAGAAGGTTGGACCTTCATAATGTCAGCAAAATATTAACAAAAGCAAAAGTTCATTACAAAATAGACCGGCATCCTGGCTCTTCAAATTACTGGGCATCATTCCCGAACATGTCCATCATCTCATCATCAAATTGCTGCCCTGCGGCTTCCATCTCCGGGTTCACAGAAGTGCCCTCCCCAGCTGCAGCATCGATTTCTGTTACTGATGAGAAAAATACACCATCTAGAACATAACCAAAATAGTCCAACTGGTCAACATTTAAAGTCACACCAGGATTGAAATGCTTGATCTGGTTAACGGCATTATTAAAGGCAGACCCAGCAGCCCTTTCAAGAATGGCTTGGCTATTATCATAGTCCGTTTGCACATCCTGCACATCGGCTTGCAGCTTACTGACCTGCAAATCCAATGCCTTGTTCTTCGATTCTAACTCGGCCAAAGCAGCCAACTTCTCCTTGAATAAATTAATAACAGCCTCTTTGTTCGCACCCAGGCCAAAGGAATCCGACACAAGCTTCAAATCAGCCTGAGATTGCTCCGACGATGCCTTCAAGTCAGGAGCAGCAGTGGACAAATTTTTGTTCTCTTCAGCCATCTTATCACGGTTAGCTTTAAGAGTATTCTTATCAACTTGCAGGGTTTCCTTCTCAGCGCATACTTCTGAGTATTTCTCTAGCAAAAGTGAGTATGGCTTTACCAAGGAGGCCACCTTGTAGGCGTACAGCTCGACCCTTTGAAGCTCTTCCACTTGGGCCCTTGACAGAATGCTAGTCCCATAAAATTCAGGCGGAGGACGTGTCACACCACGAAGCTCTATGGCTACCCCGGTCTCCCACAGAGCCCCTATCCGTAGTCCGGAAGGAAGGGGATTCGGGGGCGGGGTACCCCGGTCCATAGACACCTTGGCTCGTGTGGTGCCAACAGTATCCCCAGCAGTCGAAGTTTGGTAGTTGCCAGGATCGAGCCAGTTGTCAGCATCGTTGGTCAGATCCAACACTGATACTTCAGCCGTTGCAGAAGGCATGGACGTGGTGGCACCAGCAGAAGGACTAACAGTCCGCGGCCGTTTTAGGGCAGGAGGTGGCCAAGCAGCAGTTTTCCCTTGTCGGGTTAGAACGTAATCCGGCACACCACTTGCAGCAGGATCCATCTAGAAGCCTACACAAAGGAAAAGAAATCTGAGGTAAGTAAAGATGGAAAAAGAAACCAATATTGCAAAGAAATATACATATTTTTTATGAAGGCATACTACTGGTTTGGACTAGGCCGGTGTTAGACTTAGCAACTAAAGAAGCAGCGCTCAAGTGACCCTGAGAGCCAACATGAGCCAACAAGGTCTTTGCGTTGGCTTTCTCCTCAGCTGACATTCCGAGCTTGAAATCAGCTGACGTCCGAAGATGATGATCATAGGACCAGTAGAGAGGAAATTTTCATTCCATGTCCTCCTTCAGAAACCACGGCCTTGCGCCGACTTCGGCAACAACTTTAAAGAATGCGCCCTTGAAATCTTTGAACGAGTCACTATAAACAGAAAATAACTTCCGGGAGGGCTTACTAGAACGGCCACAGATACTGGTCCTCCCTTTGAACTCAGGAGGCTCGGATCCAGTCCGAGGGGTGTATATGTTAAGGAAATACAAGAAAAGGGGAACGGTGCACGTCACAGACAAGGATATGCACAGTTGTTCGAAGGCGACGATGTAGGCCCAACTATTGGGGTGAATTTGAGTGGGAGCAACAAGAAGATGGTTCAGTAGTTGTATTTTGAAAGAGGAAAGAGGAAAACGAATACCAATTCTGGTAATTAAATCGCGTTAACAAAAGAAAAAGGGAGGTTCTTGGGGATTCCGGCCCGAACAGACGGGCTCATCTTCTGCAGGACAGAAGGTATTGAACCCCACCGGGTTACCTATGGGAAGCCCGGATATCTCCTCAGTGGTCATGACGGATCTGAAGCTAAGCACCTCCTCGGTAACTGACGCGAGCTATCGAACTCGCGCAAATTAATTAAATTAGGTTTATTAAAAATTTGTAGTAAAGTGTCAACCTAAGTCGTCGCTCAAGGAGTTTGCAAGGATCTTAATCGCTCAGTTCATTAGGTTAATCAACCTAACCATTAAATCTAATGATTAATCTCTTTCCTAAGAACGCAATCGCGTATCTCAGATTGAACACCCACAATCGCACGATGTAAAACCGAGTTGGAAAGAGAAAGAAATTTGGTTCAAAATGAGGCGCAGGTCCTCAGGATTCAACCATGGAATCCTCAACCCTTGGGTTGATTAAAGAAAAGAGGAGAGAAAAAAGACGAAAATTATATTAATTTCAAAACTGTAAAATTCAAACTCAAACGAAAGATGATCCACAAGGTCCCTACTCTCGCCCTTTTAACCCCTAATCAAGCTGGGCTTCGGGCTCTACAATCCAACCCAAAATAAAAGGAAACAAAACAGAAATATTGGCTCTGGGCCTCATGTACATTGAGTTCAAAATTATAACTTAAGTTCAAACGTAAAAATAAATTTCCAGCAAAACATGTCCGTCTTGGGCTCAGGTTTCGATCATCTTTCTGTCTGAATTGGGCTTCAGTAGCTGAAATAGCAATTGTAGCCCTTCCTATTAGATGCAAAAAACAACAAGAACAGAGTTAATCGGAGATCTGTAGAGTGGGATATGGCCAAAATACGAAAGTAGTGTAAATTTGAAAAATTATGACGAAAATCAATTAAACCCAATTAAAATCTAGAATTTCGATTTGACCCGAAAGACCTTTATTTAATTCAAATAAAACCTAAAAATACCAACCAAGAGTAATAAATAAGTGTAACAAAATATGTGTTATCAAATTCCCCCACACTTATCTTTTTGCTCTCCTGGGAAAAAACTAAAATAGAAAGCAAAGACTAAGATCAACCAATCCCTTCTAACAATTACCAAGTATACAGAAACAAAGGATAAGAAACAAATCAGGACAGAAATTCTCTAATCTCAAATCACAAGACCTGCTAATTTCAACTGTACATGCCAATTACCGAAAATGGTTCCTTATAGGATGCTCTCAATATTTTTCTCTCAAGTGTATCAAGTAATCAGTGTATCACTCAAATCTACTCAAGAAAATCATTCTACCATAGGCTTGCTCAAATTCTACTTCTCCACTGCTACTAACACATGCATGCACAAATCAAGAGGGCTTTATGCAGGGTTGTAATGGAGTTGAGGTGAAGGTATGTATAAAATATGGAAAAGAAGGTTAAACACCCCAGAAATCTACAAGAGCAAAAAATAAGAACGACACTAAGAAAATAAAACAAAGATAATGAAAAGTTTTATTTTTTTATTTTTTTGCTTTTTCTCTTCTTTTTTTTGTTTTTTTTTGTTTCTTTTTTTTTTTACTTTTTTTTTTACTTTTTTTTTTTTTTGCTTTTTTTTAATCAATACAGTAAAAAAAGAATCAGATGGTCACCCATCACACTTATATTTTTGCACGTCTCGGGCAAACGCCCACACTTAAACACAACATCACAGTGAAAACCAATGCTCAGTAAATCTCTAAGGTGTGGAATTAATTGATTTTTCACTTAGGCTAGTAATGTGGGATAAGAAACAAAGGATATAAAGGCTCAAAGGGGCTCACCAAGGGATAATAATGTAAGGGATGACTATATGGATAAAGGAAAAAATAAAAGAAAAAATGCCTCTATCAGATTCATGCATGTAAATGAAAAATGCAGTTTCAAAAAGAACAAGATCAAGTTCTAGATAATAAAGATCATGAGCAGAAACACACAAGAAAGAGAGAATGGCAAAAGATGTAATCCATTCATACAGACCCAAAATCTCACAAGGGTAAAACCAAATTACGCAATCAGCATAACAATATCAGTTAACAAATAATATAATCCAAGAGTCAAGAATTAAGCATGATCCGAATAATCTATCAAAATAAATATGTCCAAGTTCATTCCATGTATAACTCAACAATTATAAAAAAGAAAAGGAAAATCTACTTATTGAATATTAAAGTTGAAATAAATAAATAAAAATGCAAAGAAAAAAGAAATAAAGAAAAAGGAAAAGAAGACTCTCTATCCTC